TGTCAGGATTGAAGAAAAAAGAGTTCAGTGAATAAATAACAGGGAAACTATTCCTTGAACACTGGAACTACACAAGAGAAGGTGGGAAGCTAAAAGTGGAGGCAAGACTGGAGAGGAAGTACTTCATAACTAACCACCACCAAAGCTGCAAAAAGCTGAATAATTTGGATCACTGCTCTGATCCACTACAACTCTTATTCTCTTCCTAGATTAAGGAAACAGTAAGAAGAGAATCTAGGGAAAGGTGTAGGAACAAAACATAAAGTAAAGAATGAGGAGCAGAAATATAGGTGGCAGCAAGATTATGGAGGACTTTACAAGTTAGGACAAGGTGCCTGAATGTGATGTAGTGTGTATTGTAGATGTAAGGTTAGTGAAAGATTTCAGCAACTGAGGTTGGTAGCAATGAAAGGAAGCTGTGACTAGGACTTGTTTTGGTCTTCTAATCCTTTTCTTCCTTTATACAGGAGACAGGAAGTTGCTCTCAAAGAAGTCAAACAAATGGTAAATATAAAATAACTTCTTAATAGTATAATAATAACAACATATATATAGTCTTTATTCCTTTTACATCAGTAACACTTAACAAACATAAAAGAGAAACAGCAAGTCTTAAGTTTTCTTGTATTGACTAACTTTGAAACTTGTATTGACAAACTTGTATTGACTAGCTGTTTTAGACAGAACATGATCTGATCTCTTTTTTTTTTTAAAGCTTTGTTTTTTATATTAGTAACACTTAGCAACCATTACAGAGGAAATAATAAAATTTACGTTTTCTTGCATTGACTAACTTTGAAATATTGCTTTAAATAGAACGTGATATGACCTGATAAAATAAAAGAAGCAAATAACAGATTTGCTGTGTCTTTAAAAATATTTTGGAAAACATAACACCAAACATGCTCAAGTCCACCCTGCCCTGGGGTTTCCTTGTGAATACAAACATTGCATTTCCAGTGAAGACCCACTTACAGAGCCTGTAAATGCAACAAATGAAATGAGAGCAATGAATGAAAATAAAGTTTTAGGCCATCAACCAAACAGTGAAATGTATTTGTACAAAATGTGTTTAACGATTTTCCCTTAAATTCTTTATGTTTTAGTTAGTTTAGTGGTGGTTTGCAATATAAGATGGAGAAGTGACAGCCGGGTAAACAGTGTCCTTTTAATTCCATATTCTTAATTGGACTTAATGGAAGTAGTATATAGATTAAGCTCTTCCTATTTCAGTAAATTATTTTCTATTTATTGACAGATTCTCGTTCAGTTTTTGGATTAATCAATTCACAATCAATGTCAAGTTATGTCAGGTAGGTAAAGTCTAATCTTAGTTTCCAATTTGGTAAACTTTCTCTTCTTACAGGAGAAACACAGCAAATATTCCTAAATGAACATTCAAGCCTTTTCTCTTTTGCTTACTTTTGCATCATATTTATAAAATACTACCAAGTTGCCCATCAAGAATTACAGGGGGCGGGGCAGGGGAGGGATGGAGCCCAGCATTCCTCCCGTCCTCATCCAGCCCCGCCTCCCCCGTTACTTTGGGCCCAACCCCGTTCTCCCCAGAAGTTTGGATCCAAGGCTGCTCCCCCATGTCCTCCCCCCGCTATGGCAGGCCTGACCCCATCCCCCCCAACCCTCTCCCCACTGCAGGGGTCCGACCCTCTTGCCCCCTTCCCTCGCACCGCTGCCTCCAAGGAGCAGGAGGGCAGGGGGGAAGCTTGCCTGCCATCCCTCCATCCCCCTTGGGAAGCAACCCATGCTGCTGCCACCTCCAGGGAGCAGGGCTGGGAGGGGAGGGAGTGAGGCCAGCAGCACTGGCCTTGCCCCTTGCCCCATTCCACCCTCTCTGTCCCCACTGTCATGACAGCACTCAGCCATGCTGCCACCGCCTTCTGTCCGGAATGCTCTTGGAGCACTTTGATTGGCTGCCGAGACAACCAGTCAAAGTGCGAATAAAGTGTTACAGACAGACTAAGGCTTTTATATATATATATAGAATTTTGTAATCCACAGTGCTCAAGCAAGTGAAGTATATTAAGGTGGATTATTAATGTACAAGGTGAAACATTAACGCAATTAACATGAACCAATTAATGCGTTAATTGCACACATTAACAGCAATTAATTGACAGCCCTAGTTAATACTAAGATGATCTGAACCCAGGAACAAGGATGAGGGAAACATCTTTTACAACAGTACGCAGCAGTTCATAAAGAAAGGCTAGCGTTCAAGCTAAGAACCAACAGACTGTTTCAAGACTGCCTGGCACATGAAGAGCAATATACGTCATTAGCGGGCCTCCTGAGACTGGGGGAGGCACCATTTGTAGGTGGCAGCGTTGGTGGTGAGCGGGGACCACCCGCAGACGCCAGCAGTGATGCTGATGGCAGGGGGCGGGGGAGCGGTGGTAAGTGGCAACTGCCTGCAGAAGCCAACGGCAGCAGCAGCAGCAGCCAATCTCAGGAGGAGCATGTGCCTCCCCTTGGCCCACCCTACGAGTCACCTATGGTCATTAGCCAATAGGGTTACCATACATCCTGGTTTTCCTGGACATGTCCTCTTTTTTGGACCCCTGTGCTACATCTGGGCAGGTTTTTAAAAAAGAGCAAATGTCCAGGTTTTCTGTTCTCCTGGGCTGGCTGCTTTGGGCTGGGAGCAGCAAGCAAGGTGATTGGCTGTTGGGGGTCATGTGCTCCCGGCATGGGCTCTGGCAAACCAGGGAGGGAGGGGGAAGAGAGAGAGAAAGAGAGAGAGAGAGAGAGAGAGAGAGAGAGCGCGCCAGAGCAGGTGTACATGCAGTGCAGGAGCTGCTCAGGCAGCAGGGCTGGGAAGGGCACAGGCGGCTGTGGATCTGGAGTGAGGGGCACCGGCAGGGCTGGCAGGGGCCATGGATCAGGAGTGAGGGGCATGGGGGAAAGGACAGTTGACTGTGGGTTGTGTGTGCAAGGTACTGGCAGCACCAGGGGGCTGCAGGTCAGGAGTGAAGGGCACCAGCAAGCGCCGGGGGGGGGAAGCAAGGCACTGCTGTTTGCAAGTGAGGGGCAGCAGCAGGGCTGGGGGGGTGGGGGTGGCTTGTCAGTGAGGGGCAAAGAATGGGCAGGGGCAGCGCACCAGCATGTCACTGCCCCCCCTCCCCCACCATCATACTCCCTCCACCCCATGACAGGTGTCGTCTTTTTTGGACCTGGTAACCCTATAAGCCGAGACATCAGACTCAATATCTTGCGGCGAAGATATAGCTTATATTTACTAGTCCATGAGCTTTAACTTTGATACCAAAAAGGTCAGCATAAAGATAAAAAGAAACCTTTTAAATTTATACATACTGGTCTTTTTGTTGCAATGAGGTTAACAACAAGTACTTTTGTTTTAGCTTGCTGAAATGTCAGTTTGTGTTTAAACTGCAAATAAAACCAACCTCCCTAGAACATTGGGCGGGGTGCCATGAAACCTGATTAGGGGTGCTATGGTGCAGGTGATGATGTGGCTGCCACAGGCAAGTAAAACTGCCCTGCGTACAGTGCAGAGCTGCATGCACATTTCTGCTGCATTAGAGCTCCCTGCTCCACCCATGCACTCCACCCTGTTTCTGGGAGAAGCATGGGAGAGGTGGACTGGGAAAGGCTATAGCATGAGCCAGCTCTTCTGCCCTACTTTAGGGTTATCAGAGAGCCCTAATGCAGGAGAAACGTGTATACATGCTACTGCCTTCCCTGGGCTGGCTGTGCAGCAGGTATGGGGGACAATTTTTACCTGGACCCAGCAGTACCCAGTTAAGTAGCACTGAGGTAAATTGAGACAGCACCAACAGTGGCTCTCAACATCATATGCTGCCACAGTTACCATCCCCCTCACACCATCTGGTGTGCTCCCCTGCCCCTCTGAGCATTCAAACACCACTGCAGCCCCTCACACCACTTGGGTCCCCCTCTCTCACAATCCCTCTTGCTCCCCACACCCTCACACTTCATTTTAGCACAACAGATCCCCCCACCCCCTCAATCCCAAACCTCATCTATGCCTCCCAGCCCCCACCACCCTAATGCCCCAGTCATTCCTTACTCCACACCCCTCTACCCCAAATGCCCCCCCACAAAAAGCCCACACATTTATTGGACCTGCTGGTGGGTGAGCAAGGAAACATTACCAGAAATAGATAACAGACAGGATAATTGTAGAAGAAAGGATAGTTTGAGTAGTGGAAAATCAAGGGTTGTTAACATCTACTGAGTGAAGAAATTAGTAGAAATCAGATAATGATAAAGCATGAAGTCAATTGACTCCCTCAACTCTACCTAAATAGAAATGTGGCTGCCCTGCTGGGCAATATCTTTTAAACTTTCAGTGGAGCAGGAATCAAAGGGAGGTGAGACTGCACTCCCAACACCGCCTGTCCCCCCACACCCAGTCTACCCCTTATTATAGGCATTCCATTGCCATTTCTATGAAGATCACACACCTGATATTTTCTTTTGTATCATTCCTGGGGGGAAAATCACTGGAAAGCTGCCTAGATCTTCTTCCAATTAAACTGTTTAATCTGGTTTAGACTGGGATTTTGTCCAGTTACGGAGTCTGGGAAACAAGATACAGCATGTACCCAAGAAAACACAGCAGGAGAGTTGGAGAGAGGGCTTGGAGCTTCTAGGGTGATCCACCCAAGGGATAGTAATTTTGTGCTGGAAAGCTTGTTTAACATTTTTCCAAAATATACAGTTGGTCCAATAAAATATATCACAAAAAACTTTGCTTCGCACTTAGAAAAGGGAGAGATCTTAGAAGTCCAGGCAGTGGCTTATGAGGTCTCTAGCAAAGCACAGTGGTTGAACAGCTGCATATTGAAGGATAAAGGGTGATTCCCCTCTTCAAAAAATATGTTGATAAACAGTATTATGTGAATCCTAAGCATTTTTCCTATATTTTGCCATTCAAAAAAGGAAGGAGTTAGTCAAAGGAGACGACCCTGATTACTGTCATCTTCTCCATTAATTACCTTTGTTTGCATGTGCCAAATTCCAGCATAAGAGTTTCTGGTCCTGCTCTTGTCTTGGTTGTCTACAAGGCCATCCCAGGTACTGGTGATCTTCTGTGAAATAATTATTAATAAAATAACTCATCAGAGGAACAGGTGTTGAAGGTACTCTGAGTCTATGAAGTGAAATATGGTCTGTATTTATATAGTTTTCAGTTTTGCCCATCCTAGATAAAACTGTACAGCAGAGGCAGATATAATGGGACTATCTTCCTGAAACTAAAAGTGTATATGAGTTAATGTAAAGGTTTATTATAAAAATCTGAGATTGAATTTTAATAAAAAAAGATCAATATTATGAAATAGCAGTTTGGGTAAACTGTAATAGATATTCTGGGGTTTGACACTAGTTATTTCTTATAAAATTTGATTTTATTTTTTTTTCTATTAATGCAACTGAAGCTCAATTTGGTCTCCTTAAATATTATAAAAGAATATGGAGTAGTTATTTTTAACAAACACCCTTTTCTACTCACTATTTTATTATTCTGAAATATACCAATATCTCTGCATTTGTAAGATCTCTCCTCTTACTTTTCAGCAGTTTTGACGCACATTGGAAGACAGGTATAAATGCTTCAGTTAGATACCAAGACCCTGAGAACTGGTATCGGAAAGACTTATGTGAAGAAAGTAAAGATAACAGATTATGTTTTTCTAATACAGAGGACATTCAGCTATGCCACTTATCCAAAGCAACATCATCATCTTTCATGCCATCTCACATAAAAAGCTTGAAACAAGTAACTGGCTCCAGTTATCCCATTGCTTCTACATGCCTGGTGTCCATCCCATTAAAATTAACTTCATTAGTAAAGGCAAGTTCAACAACAGAAAAATCAGGATCAGATATCTCTGACAGTGAAAGTTGTAATTCTTATTCTGAATTACACAACTGCTCCATCCCTGAAGACAGCAACTTTCCTGTGCAAAATCAAGAAAAAAATGTATCATCTAGTCCAGCATTTCCTGAACAGTGTCTTTTAACAAAACAAATGAATCAACTGCAAAATAGATTTATGGCAACAAATAAATTCCAATTCAAAGTTTCCTTAATGGGAAGAAATAACTTCCAAAGTTCATCTTTGGGAAAAAAGAATAATGAATGTTTTCATGTTATGAGGAAATCATTTGCTACCAAAGTAGAAACAATGCCTGTAACTATTAAACAACCTTGCACTGTCATACAGAAACCAATTGTAAAGCCATCTATTAATAATAAAAAACCCAAAATGGAAACAACTACAATGGTGACATTTATACATCAAGCTTCTCTTAACCAAGATAATTTTGAAATAAGACAGAAACATCTATTGGCTTACTGGGGAATTCCTCCAAAACAAACAGAGCCCTTAAGAAAAAATATTCCAAAGTCTCCTTCTCTAAATCCAGCAATAAGAACTGCAATACAAGACACAGAACTAAGTAGACCACTTACTCCAGATCAAGTTGTAGAGAAGTCTGAATGTCATCTTAGAAAGAAAAATATTCAGCACAAGTGGGTTTTGGAATTACAGACAGAGAAGTCAACTGATGTCTCCATACCAGGCCCATCTAGAAAAATCAGAATGAAAAATGAAACAGAAGTGAAAAACATAATCAATTTACCATTCAATGAAAAAACCAAATATTGCCTTGAATTCCATATAAAGAAAAAAATAATTAAGGAAACGTGGGGGATTCCCCCCAAAGAGACTGAACCATTAAAAAAATCTACACACTTTGCATCACATTTCCAAGAAAAACTTATGGCCAATTGCTTCACGTATAGGAAAAAAGAAACATCAACCATTGTACATGCTAGAAGTTATGAATGTCTTAATTTTCCATATGTACATTTTGCATCAGATGCAAGACCTAGTATTATGTCTGAAGCAAGAAAAATACCGAAAAACGTTTTTGTCAGATCACTTACATCAGAAGAGATTAATAAACTTATTTATCATACAACAGTGAAATCACTACAAGTCAGATTAGGAACACTACCTGCAATGGTTCAAGTATCTTTCAAAGCAGTTTATTTTAATCTAAAAAGACCTCTGACAAAACTGATTCATTATGGTAATAAGCTTAAAAGAGTTAAGGCTTTATACCTGCCATTTATAGATCAAGATGCTCTACATCTTATAGATTTTAATGTAAAACACAAATATCTTGTATTCCTTTGGAAACTTCCTACAGTATATAGTAAGTCTATGAAGATGATGATCCCCAACGCCCCATGGACACTTACAAGAATCCAGCCAAGTGGAGCTGTAACAAACATTACAGACAATGAAACTTCATTTTCCTCTGCTAATATGCAAGACAAGTGTATCACACTGAAGAAATCACTATACAGGCAGGCACTGATAATACCACAAGCATGGAACTCATTCAGTCCACCTGCTCTGCAGTCAGATATTAGTGAAAATATATTAGAGGCAGACTTAGAAGTAATTCCAGCAGTCAACAATTCTCCCTCAAACTTAAGGCAAAATATTGAAAAAGATGTAAAGTGGAGTATTTTACAGCAACAGCGCAATATCTGTGGTATAAATGCTGAGCAGCAATCAGTAAGTGCCAAATCCCAAATGAATAACCATCCAGAAGAATCTTTCTATCAAAAAGTGTCTACCTCTGCCTCAAGAGCCCACAGAGGTCATGACAGAAAAGGAAAGCATTCAAATAAAACTAAAAGAATATTTAGCTACCCTGTGGCTTCCATTACAAGAACAAGTATATATCTAGAGCTAGAAAATAAGAAAGAAAAACTTAATGTACACTTAAATAAAAAAATTAAAAGGAATTTGGAATTACCACTAGCAGGTAGTCCAGAATTTTGTAACATTGACAAGGCTGCAGAAAGAAAAAAGAAAATAACCTTGGATCAAAATCATGACACTCACTCAAATTCTCATGGAAAGACTGAAGAGGGAAAACCTTTTTGTTATGTATGTATGTCTTCAAATAAGTCAGATTCCACACACAAGACTGTCTATTGGACCCTTCCAAAAAGTGTAATGGAAAAGAATGGGTACAAAGCCCCCCAAGTAATAAAGATTGAGAATAAATATAGCAGTAAAAGATCATCTCACAAGTAAATGAAGTGACTGCAGTTCAGGTTTGCTCTGTTTCTCATGGATAAAATAAAAAGTTGACTTAAAAAAAAAGGAGTTCCAGAAGTCTTACAAAATATGACACGCCAGTTTAAACATCAGGGAAATATAATCCTTCAAAACCCTTCTAAACTAGGTTACAAGTATCTAACATATCAAACACCTTAATCTCCTATCATATTTCAAAACCTGTTCAACTTTTAATTCCCTATTATAATACACAGCAAGAAAAACAAATTATGCCAAGGAGTGCCTCAGTGCCCTCCCCCCCCTCCCAACTCTCCTGCCTGCTTCCTCATCCTTTCACTTAACATTGCACCTGTTTTTGTTGTCATCTCCATTGCTGTCACATAGAATCATTTCTTTTGGAAAATTTTTCATGTTCCAGGTCAAATTAGCCAGATCAAATCTGAATCCATTTGAATCATTCAAGAACCATATGTGGCCCTGCTACCAGCAAGTATCTTCCACTCCAGCCTGGGGCTTCAGGTACTTCCAAATCTTTGGCAGGCATCCTACATGTAGGCCCAAGCCCAGAGGCTTGGGGTTCGGATGTCCCCGAGCTTTGCTTGCCTTCAGCCATATGGATGCAGAAGCAACCTAGAGAGGAGTCTCCCATTTCCATAAAGTCAGCATGTAGCTGGAGGTCCTGAAGGATTGCGAGAAATTGATGAAAGCGGTAAGGAAGAGAGACAGGATGGTGCTGGTGGGAACCTTCACAGAAGGACAAGTGAAGGTGTGGGGAGTGGCGGTGGGTAAACAACTAAAAGGTGAACATGCTGACCTCGCATGGATGGTTGTAAGAAATATCTTGCCAATGAAAGAGGTGCAACACAGTTGAGGCCTGATGAGCATATTTAGGTGCCCAAGGGAGAGGTGTGGGCAAAAAGAAACAGTGGAACATGTTTTGGGAGTGTACATTTGCAAAGAGGGTATGGGAAAGGGCCCACTGCTTTCTGAGTGTCACCAAAATAAACCTGTAAGCCTGAGAGATGGTTCTAAACAGACTCAGACCAAAGGGACTGGACGAAACATTATTAAGGACTTCATTAGTATGTTTAAAACTAGTTTATGGAAAGTAAGAAACCTCTGGGTTTTAAGGGATTGGTTTTCATTGAAAGAGGTTTTCATTGAGAGCAGCTGGGGCTGCGTGAACTGAAATACTACATCGATTGGAACAAGGAAAAGATCAGAGAAGAAATGGAGAAAAAAGGACTCGACTTATTTCACTGAACCAAAAGACAGGACTGATGAGAGGGGCAGAGTTTCAGGTGGTTGCTGAGGTAATTGTTTTTCGGGGATTTGAAGAAAGAGTCCTGCAACTGTTTTTTTTGTGAGAGGTTGATATATGTCATTTAAAATATGCAGTTGTATGGTTTTGAATATGTAATCGTTTTTACAATACGTGAAGCTTTGTAAGTGTATGTTGGTGTGTTACCAATAAAATTTATTTAAAAAAATAGGCATGGCTTTTCATGACTTCTTGGCCTTTGGCTAAGATCAAGTGAGACTGGGGGCAATTGCATCCCAAGGCCTGTGAGCCCGGGCTTGTACATATGATATCTGTCTGGATTTGGGGAATATCCAAAGCTCCAGACCAATGAGTTTGGAAGGGAGGATACTTGCCTGGTGGTAGCACAGACTTGCTGACTGAGCAAAGAGCTTAGTTAAATTTTGGAACGTCACTGTTGGGCTTTGCCCAATTGAATCTGGAACTGATCTGGCCCTTGAAACAAAATTTTTGAAAAGTAGCAGGTCCCTATCAGCATGTTTGCCCAATATGGGCCATGTGTTTTTAGTCATGCTCAGTGCTGGCTGCATTTAATCAGCTTCATAGTTGGTTTCCATTGCTGAGCACATGCTGCTTTTGGCAGCAGTTTAACGATAGACAGTGTATTTAGTGAGATTTTCCTGCATTTGATTATGAGGGGCTTTTTTCCCCCATGCCAATTGGAAGGAAAAACCTCATCTTGTATTTGAGTAAATACAGTATATCCAAAGTGTGGTATATTTTGAGGAGCCAAGCATATACTAAGCATAACTAACCCCACCAAAAACTGGGTGGAATCTTATTTCATCAGCTAAAACAATTAAGTGATGCTTAAACACCACTTAGCTGGCTAGCTATCCAGATTCAATTCTGTCATTTTTTCCAATAACTGAATCACACTTACCCAGCAAAATGCATGACCCTGCTACACCTTTGCCAGTTCATTTGCACCTGTGACCACTGCGCATATTCTAGAGATCCTATTCCTCTTCAGAGGCATGCAGCAGCCTTTACACCCTAGGGCTAGTCTATTCCATTCTTCTGGATAACTAGTGGCTTCCCTAAGCCTGACTAGTTAAAAAAAAATGTAGTTGTACAAAACACATGACTAATAAGACATAGCTGCTTGTAGCAAGTGCTGCTGCTGCTTTGGGTTATCACCAATTTGAACATGGACTGTAAATAAAGCCCCTTGGGGCCCTCTGACAATTGTAGGCAAAGCAGCAGGCAGACCGGGTGTGAGCCAGGCACTGAGACAATTTCGGGGGGGACCTCTGAGAAAGCAAAAAGGAGAGTGTTGGTCAGTCAGCCTGGGCCCTGCTCTTGGGGCTGTCGCTTGCGTCTCTGCACTTGGAATTGCAGTTACCCTGTCCGGCCACGTCTCCTCGGTGTATCCCATGAGAGATGCCAAAATGCTGTACAATCACACGCACCAGGTCAGCTGTGGAAAGGGCCACTGGCCCGCACCTGGCAGCACATTAGTTCATCCACCAAGATCTCCCTAAATCTCCATGGCTTGTTGCGTTCTGCACAACTGCTATGTGGCGATTCCTCTGCCCGAGGGGGTTAGACAGGTAATGTGGGGAAGGAGGCAGCAGAGAAGTCTCAACCCTACAACCTAGGGGACCACAAACCCAAGCGGATGTGGAGACGGACAAGGAAGCAGGGAGCACTGTCGCAGCACAGGACAGGCTGGCAGTCAGAGCAGCACCAGAGAGCCTTGCCACACTGAGCAGGGAGGTGTCCAAGTTGCTTTTTGTGGGCCACAGCCGGAGTCTGAGCGGCAGCAACTGCTAGCCACGGACACGTGCCCTTTACCCTTGCAGACACTGTGCTTGATCCCAACCTGCTACCAGAGGCGTATCTCTAATGCATCAAACCTGCCACCTACCTGACCAAGACCCCCTTGCGAGTGCCCTGCTGGATGCACATCTTTGCTCACTCACTGCCCCGGTCCTCCACTTCTGGCCGCATTTCTGACCCCCACTACCTGGACCTGCTGCTGCACCTCCGCCCAGGCTGCACCACGGGGTGGTACCGCTGCCCCTGCAAACCCCCAGGGCCCGGGCCGGGAACCACTGGTGGCCACACACCGCCCCTT